TTCCCATCTCGACAAGTAAACATGGCGGACAGTAGCTGAATGAATTTTTCATTTATTCGGAAGACACTACCTTAAGTCCAGGATATTTGAAAGGATGGAGAATTTTCAAAACGACTGCTGTCGCCCTTGAACCAAAAATTCTTTCAAAAACTCGTATTAAAGGCATTTAAGAATCGTAAACGCAGTGGTTACGTTGATCGTCAGTAGGTCAGATCGATTGACCGAAATGTATTTTCCTTCAAACTAAAGCTACGCATTTTCAGACGATGATGATAACTGTGAATAAAGTCCATAACGATAAAACAAAGGTACCGGATGAGTTTAGTTTTTCGTTGTTTCGCTTGTTTGTTTTGCGACCGAACTCGATGAGTAAATTGATTCAAAATCAATGTACATATAAGCTTATTCTTAAAACTACGGTTGCATACGTGTATGCAAACGAACAATTACTTCTGTGTTTTTCTGTTTTAGTCCGCCATTCTGTAGTCCTCTTTGTTCAGCTCTGAAAATTATACTAATTTTCGTCTCGCGCTTTACAAGTGACAAAAGAACCCCTGTTATATATTACGCTTTTTTATGATAAGTTTCAATTAAGTAGCCGTGCAGTACTGTGGGTTGGGGAGTAAGACTTTATCGTCCGGCCAGGTCTCAGTCCGCTTTCGGCGGTAACTCTGTGAAAGGCCAAGATGAACAAGTTAACAAAGCGGAGAGAACAAAGCGGGTTCCGCCCGTGTTCGACTTTGCTTAATAAAATTAACATTATACCCGGACGTTATATATTACGGGAGTAGATTGCTGAAACAGTTTCTTACCTTTTATCCTATGGCAGTTCCAAGCATCAACAAACCTCTTCATTCCTAATTCAGCTACTCCACACGTAAACCAAGAAACACAAAACTGTACGTTCTCATTGGTCATATCGAGAATGCCTTATTCCTCTAAGTCCACAAGCACACGTTTTATTGGATAATTATCTCTTGAGTTGACCTCAAGCCATAGTTTTTTTATTGTTAAGTTCTTTTTGGAGGTTGTCTTCACATTTGCTGGCCTGTCCATGCTCTCTCGGAACCCTGTCAGTAACTCTTGGATGAAGAGTATGAGGACCCACTCTCTACCCATATCGACACGTACTTGATCGAAAACGCCCGTCTCCAGGAGAATGGGTCTGTGATGCAAACAAAGATTTAAGAAATGTGGGTAAAATATCTTAGGAGATGATGATGATGATGATAATGATGATGATGATGATGAAGAGGAAGAAGAAGAAGAAGAAGACGAAGAAGAGGAAGATGATGATGATGATGAGAAGGAGGAGGAAGAGGAGGAAGAAAAGGAGGAGGAGAAGAAGGAGGATAATTGAGGGTGTTACAAGATTCAAGATATTTCAGAAAACTCGGAATCAATTTGGTGAACAGCAATAGGGATCTCTTTCACATAACTGTGGCTTGGCTCAGTCAATCCATAACAATTTGCAGCATTTTACCTGTTAGACTGACTGTACACTAAATAGGATTCTTTGATGGCAGACTAGTCCAGTTCTCGATCGAGCTACTATATCCATCTCTGAAGACAGCATGTACCACACCATAGCGCACAAGCTTTTCATTTTGATGTATGTGTCCTTTGTAACCAAACTTTTGAGCATAGTACGGGATGGGATTTGTCCGCCTATCAAGCGTGTCAGTTTTCCTAGCTTGAAACCCAATTGGATTGGCTTTCTTTAGCATTCTGTTAATAGTCCTGACAGAAATGTTTACACCCCTTGTT